GGGGAGTTATGTGGCAGCAAGAGAGAGAGAGAGAGCATGCACAGAGACTTTCCTTGATAGCACATTAGATAAGGGAGAATGTAAAACCTCTGATTGCAGTCAATGGGAACGCAGAGACCGTGTCAATGGACAAAAAGGTGGAGTGGCAGTATGCTTTAAAAAGGATCTCCACATTCAACCTCTCTCCCCAGTGCTTCCTGACCTCCTTGATATGTATTTCAAGATCATAACTGCAAGGAAACACTCCATCCTTCTGTATGTTATGTATAGGCCTCAGTGGCAAGCTAGTTATCTGATTGAATATCTTCATACGAATTTGGATAACAATTGTTCCAATGTAATATTGCTGGGTGATTGGAATCAGCACCTTGCGCAAAATGCGTTTGATGCCTTCTTAACTGTGTATGAGCTGCATAATCATGTAGACTTTCCTACACACCACATATCAGATCAGTTTACTTTTTAGCAGTAAACCTCTCGGCACAGCTGGAACCTCTTCACAATGCTGTTCTCACTCGCTTTGTCATTGACGTGGTTGAAGATGAGAGAAAAGTGAGGACCCTCTGGGAAAGAACAAACTGGGAGTCCGCAAAAGCAGATCTGCAAAATACAGACTGGAACATACTACTGCAGGGCAGTATTGATGATCAGACAATCAGACTAACAAACAAATTTCTGGACATTCAGAGCAAGTATGTCCCTCATAGCAGTTCTGTGGAAAAGCCTCAAGACCCACCCTGGTTTGACCATCAGTGCCGGAATGAATCCTGGAGACAATACAAGAAAGGGCCATCAAGCAGCAACAAAAGTGTTCACAAATAAGCCTGCAGAAGACTTCGAGAAACCCTCCAGTGGGCAAAAAAGTCGATGGACAACTGATCTGCAGCATAAACTGTAGAGTGGCAATATTTATCTTTTGTCAGTCATTGCAAAGGTCTTGAAGAGATTGACGGCAACTGATTGCTTTCTTCACGTCAGTATGGTTTAGTGAAGGGAAAATCGGCATCAGACCTCTTGCTGCTCCTTACACACAAATTGAGTCAAAACCAAGATAATGGATACGACACCCGGGTCATTGCACTGGACATATCAGGTGCTTTTGATACTGCCTGACATAATGGACTCCTTTAAAAAATCAAGAGCCTAGGGATAGAGAGGAACTTTATTGGCACTATTAAAAGACTACTTCAGTGATAGAAGCCTCACTGTGGTTCTAAGAGGCGAAGAATCTGAAAGATAACCAATTAAAGCAGGTGTCCCACAAGGCAGCCTCCGAGGACCATTAATGTGGAACATCTTTTTCGATGATCTACTCCAACAAATCCCAGAGGCAGTGGCGTATGCAGATGACCTCACTATTCACCTGAGCTTCTCCAAAGGCAACGCCAATACAAGCAGCTCAAGACTCCAGAGAATTATTGATATTGTATCAAACTGGGGTTCCTGTTGGAAGATAAAATGTGCTGCTGAAAAAAGCCAGTCCCTTATCATACCAAGAAGCAGGGACCGCATCAAAAGAAACAAGACTCTCTTCATGCAAGAACGCCTTTTACAAGAGCAAGATCCCATCAACATACAGACACAAGTCACAAGTTCGTTCAGCACTGGAATACTCCTCCCTGGTATGGAACGGAGCAGCTCAAACGCATCTCAGTCTCCTAGACAAAATTCAAGACAGAGCTGTCACACTCATCGGTAGAACTTCTAATGGAGCTGACATAGCGAGAGAGAGAGAGAGAGAAGAGGAGAGAGAGACAGAGACAGAGAAGAGGAGAGCGAGAGAGAGAGGGGGAGAGGGAGGGAGGGAGGGAGGGAGAGAGAGAGAGAGAGAGAGAGAGAGAGATGGGAGATAAATAGATAGAAAAAAAGGGAGAGAGAGAAAGAAAAGGAGAGAAAAAGAAAAGGAGATAGAGAGAGAAAAAAAGTAGAGAGAGAAAGAGAAAAGGAGAGAGGAGAGACAGAGAGAAAAAGGGAGAGAGCGAGAGAGAGAGAGAGAGAGAGAATTAGAGAATTAGAGAGGGAGAGAGAAAGAGAGAGAGCGAGAGAGAAAGAGAGAGAGAGAGATCCGCGAACCTCGGATAGTTTTGTTTACATCCAGGCATTGCCGTGGCCGACCTGCTCAAGCGAATTCTTGCGTAGTTTAATCAAAAGGTAGGAACTCCGCAATGGCTGCAAGGCCAATTGCTAGATTAGTATCCTGAAAACGGCTTAACAGAGCGGTTTCACAATTCCCACACCGAAAACCGACCCTGCTATTCACGTAGCACGCGCTCAACGGTTCCGAGGGAAAACAATTGGGCAGTTGCTCTATTACTGAAGCTGTGGGGATTGTTATGGGATGTTAGGTGACCAAAATAATATTAAGGTGCAGTGTAATACATATCCTTAGGTGAAGAAAAGGTGATCAGTTGTGATGCTTGGGAAATCTGTCTACTAAATTAGAACCGGCTGATGTGGACTTTTTTTTTGGGGGGGGGGGCTACTACGAGTATGGCAAGAA